GCCCGGGAGAGCAGGGGGGATGCAGAGGAGAAGCTGAGCCCATTTGTGCGTGGCCGAGCGGTAGAGGATGTCAGTAGTATGTACCAATGTACTATGTGTCCTCAATTTCTTTTTCTATTTTAAAAAGGGAAATATCAGGGGGCTTTTTAGACCCCTAATATTTCCCCCGAAGCCCCCCCAAGAGTTAAAAAAAAAAAAAAAAATTACGAAAATTTTAAAAAAATAATGAAAATAAAATATAAAAATAGTGAAAAATAAATTTAAAAAAAAGTTTTTTTTCTTGCCTCAGGCGCAAAAGGAGCTGGCTACGGCTATGCTCCCGTGGTGCTCGTGCGGCTGCCGGCTGAATGTGTCAGACGCTGCAGATGGAAAGGTGCAGGACACCCCATGTGCAACGTCGGCCACACGAGCACCACGGGAGGACAGGACGCCGGGACATGTAGGGCGCACTGGAATGTAAGCCGGCCGACTCCCTGCGTTCAGGTGCGGGAGGGGGTATGGAGCTGTATTGAAGTCAATGGCTTCGCCCACATTGCGATCGCCCACACTCGGAACGCAGGCACATTAGTGCCTGCATTCCGGTCCAGTGCGATCTGCAAAAATAGTGCTTGCAGCATTTTTGCGGATCACACTGGACTGGAACACAGGCACTAATGCAGGCGATCACACTTTGGGCGAGGGGCCTACCTGCGGAGCCTGGCTGCGGTGCCATTGACTTCAATGCACCGCCACGCCCCCTCCCACCCCTGAATGCAGGTGTTTTTTCGTTGGTAGATCTCAATGAGCTCGTCATTTGAAAAGTAGATCTCCAGACGAAAAATAGTGGGCGCCCCTGATCTAGAGATACCAGTGTCCACGTAACTTGTTTTACTCTGCCATGGGGGGCTCACTTGTATATTGAGCATGTAGGCAGTTCTCAGCAGGTAAACATATGTGATAACATATAATTATACGTTGTATTTACACAGTTTTACCATGGTCATGCAAAAGTTGTTTTCTTTAGTTTTTGCTGAATCTGAAGTTCTTTTTAAACGTTAATTATCCTACACAGGTAGATCACATTCCATGGGTTGTTTACCAGATTTAAAGCATATCTAAACCAAAACACATTGAGGGAAATTTATCATACCTGGAGCAGACAAAATCTGGACAATTGTGCTTGGCAACCAATCAGCTTCTCTCTTGAACATTCTGAAGAGAGAAGCCGATTGGTTGCTATGCACAGCTGCTCCATATTCTGTCTGCTCCAGTTTTGACAAATGCCCCTCTCTATATTTTGCAGCTCACCAGAACCAGATGTGGTGGCTACATTAGTTTTCATTTTTCAGACCCCCCCCTTATTTTTATCTGGTAATTCTGCAAAAAAACCTCTCTCCTTTCAGGTCTATGACTAATTCTCCACTGTATCCAATAGTGTAGCCATAGTTGTCACACTGCTGGACTCCAAACATGTTACCTTTTGTTCTTCTCCATTATATAGTGGATTCGTAGGACTAGTAGACTACAGTTTACAGAAGATAGCTAAAAGGATACTTGTGCTGGATGCTACAAAAAAAGAAAAAGAAAACAAATGCAGCTACTACATCTAAGGACAGGTAAGCTGCAATGTATATTTCATGTGGGTATAGTTAGATACACTTTATGGGTATATAGGTACAGGTTTTCAGTAGCAGGCACACATCAGTAAGGCTTGTGCTTGCAACTTTATTCTGGAACTGACACCGGGCAGTATGCTGCAACTGCTTCACTCCAATTCCCAATCTCCCTAGGCCAAAGAAAACTGGAAGCTAAATAAACAGATGCTCTGCATAACACCTGTGTACACTTGGCTATAAAACAGCAAGCTGTTGCTATATTTATTAGAAGAGAAGGGATGGGGGGGGGGATTGCTGCAAAAGAAAGAAAAAAAGAAA